TTAGGGTGGAGCTATCTGTCCTTTAGGTCCGGGCTATAAGTCCATTAGGGCGGGGCTATCAGTTCATTGGGGCAGGGCTTCCATCATTTATGGCGGGGCTATCTGTCCTTTAGAGAGGGTTTATCAGTCCTTTATGGAGGGGCTATTATTCTTTTAGGGCGGGGCTGTTATTCCTTTTGGGCAGGACTATCATTAATTTAGGGAGGGGCTATCATTCATTTAGGGTGGGGCTATCAGTCATTAAGAGCAGGGCTATCAGTCCTTTAGGATGAGGCTTTTAATTTTTTAGGACGGTGCTATTAGTCATTTAGGGTGGGGCCATCAGTGATTTATGGGGGGGCCATCAGTCATTTAGTTTTAGGCTATCAGTCCTTTGGGGCGGGGAATTATTCAGGTAGGGCGGGGCTATCAATCTTTTTATGGTGGAGCTATCAGTATTTTAGGGTGGGCTATCAGTCATTTAGAACGGGGCTATCAGGCCTTTAGAGGGGGAGGGGGGGTATCAATCCTCTAAGGCGGAGTTATTAGTCCTTAAGGGTGAGGCTATCAGTCCTGCAGGGCGGGGCTATCATACCTTTGGGGTGTGTCTATCAGACGTGTAGGACAGGGCTATCGATCTTTTAGGGCTGGATATATAGGGTGTGGTTATCAGTCCTTTAGGGCAGGGGTTGTGTGTGAAGTGTGAGGCGCGCCTCCCCTGGGGGGCGCCAGAGCATGTCAGGGGAGGCGCGGGAAAAAATATTATATAATAAAAATATAATTATTAAGTTTAATTATTATATGTATTTTTTATTATATTTAAACGTTTTAATTAAACAAAGCAAAAAAAAAAAAAAAAACGTCTAAAATAAAACCTTTTTTACCCAGAAGGCCATAGCTGTGGATTCGCTTCTGTTTGGCAAGCCCGCCAATACAGGTATATGCCTGCTAATGCAATGGGTCGGTTTCTGAGACCCCCCGATTCAAAGCCTTCAAGTTCAGGGCTTAATCCCAAAAGATGACGATATGATGATCAGTATTTGAGTTTAGGATTTACCTGGACAGGACCAGCTGATGAACCACGACCTTTATGTGTGGTTTGTCAAGATATTTTGGCTAGTGACAGCATGAGACCCGCTAAACTTCCACTGTTTTGACTGGGATGGACAGTTCTTGGATCTGTTCTATTCATATTAACCATCATCCTAGTTTTAAAAACGTTATATTAAAATACTTGTTATTCTGTAAATAATTGCACTTTCATGCAAATGATGATAAAAGTGAGTTAACAGTCTGACATCTGTCTGTGTCTTTATATATACTGTATGTATATGTATATATATATATATATATATATATATATATATATA